CTGCGTATGTCACGAGTCACTGTGCAGCGTGGTTAATCTCTGCTAAAACAAAGCATGACTTTGTTTAGACACAGAGATATCTGTCTTGTCTCTTTATAACATACAGAATGTGTCTTTGTGTGTCCTTGACCCAGGCAGGCTTCCTGCAGCTCCTCTAAACACTGAGTGACAGCAGCAAACTCCAAGCAGAGGGGTTAAGGTTTACGTGATGCAGTAACATTTGACTTCTTCATTCTTCGTCTCACACAGCTGTTCCATAAAGTGAAACACACGGGCGGACACAATCTTTATATTTATATTAGGCCTCTTTTATTTTTGTGATAGGACGGTCAAACAGACAGACGGAATAACATGCAGGGAATGGACCAGGGAAGAGTCAAACCGCTGTTACAGCCATTCGGCATAAGGGTCAAACCACCAAATTATACTGAGACCCAGGCAGGATCTTTCTTCTTTCTTCTGCTCTGTAACTCACTTGCTTCGTAACAAACTAAACTTCATAATTAAACCAAAAGACTAGATTATGAAATGACAAATTTGAGGGATTTATGTCTATATCTATCTATGTCTATAAAATTAAGATTGTCACCTGTATTTTGCACATCCTTTGTATTAAATAAAGGATTTCTATTTGAGTGTGATGTATCCATGCCTTTTATCCCACTTATTGAATTTGGGGATGGAAGAGTTCATACCTTTCTTTTGAGAACAGTTACGCTGTACTCAAACTTTTCTTTGCACCCACTAGATTCACATTGTTTTCATTCTTCATTATATGAAAACATGTAGATATCATGGATGCATATCATGTAACAGGCTGGCTGGGCACCACAGTGCACCTGTCACACTGGCACCATCACTACATATCTGCAGTCTATGTGTATGGTTTATAGTTGTTCAGTGTGAGAGTCGATAACTAGCACCAGAATGAGGACGGCGTCAGTAAGGAAGCAGGAAGTGTTACAGAAAGACAGCATGACAACATAGGACAGTAAAAATGAATCAACTCCCATAGGGAGGCTGGTGCTGGTGTATGCATCCGTTTGTGTGTGTGTGTGTGTGTGTGTGTGTGGTAAGTAGTTTACATCATGTAAATATATCTATATTGAGTTAAACTCTTATTAGAGGGGAAAAAACATAAAAAACAAAATAAAAGAAATTCGCCCAAACTGCATGCTTGCATCAAGATGTGGGAATAGAACATGTATGCATATATGTATGCATATGTATACTGTCTGTGAATGGTACTCATGGCCATTGATCAGTGGGTTTTGATCAGTAGTTGTTGATCAGTGGTCATGAGAATTTGCATAATTATGATTAAGGAACTGACCTCACAGCCCATTGTTCCTTCAGTGGGCTGGTTTCAGTCATTATGCAAATGTACTGTTTATAAGATTTGGGGAAACCTGCAGTCAGCTGAGACTGAAGAAGTCACTTGGATGAGTGACGAAACGTTTCTCCCACAAAGCGCTACGTCCAGATGAACAGAATCAACTTTTGGACATGTATGCACTTATAACAAGCACACAGAGTTTGGAATAGTATAAAGTCTCATATCACCAAACATCCACAACATTCTTATTCAATAAGCAACAAGTCTGATAGTCAACTGATAAGTAAAAGTTACAGCGTGTTGCCTCATTTTTCACAGAACCGGATGAGGCAACAGACATATAGATGAATCATGTCTGTATTTCTATGATAGCACAGCCACCATCTCTCCCACATCTAACACGACAAAAGCCTCCTATGCCTCTATCACTCAGCACCAGCTTTCCCTTCCACTCATCTATTCTTCACTGTCCCTCGAGCTCCTTTCTGTGGGATTACCCCCTAATGCCAAACCTAAACAGAGGCTTAGTGGCTGGCGACTGTGGATGTGGGTGTGGGGCTTAGCTGGGGGTGAATGTGATGCTTTTGGAACAGGATGAGAGCTGTCCAGTACAAGATCTCATTCAGGGGACTGTGAAGCTGGTTATGAGGCAAGACCCATGAGGCAAGGTACCAGCTGATTAGCCAGAATGAAGCAGGTAACATAAAGACATCATGTTTCTAAGCAACTACACTCTTTCTGCTTATCTTGAGTAGCTTATCTCACCCATTCTTAACTACTACCAATGACAGTATGAAGCAAAACATGAACAACCCTAAAACTGCATTATGACACGGCTTTAACATGCACACGCACATTCTAGTCATTTTATTAAAACAGTAAGCTGAGCATCTGGATTGAATAGTTGATGCATTTCAGAAAACATAAAATAATTACCAAAACGTGCTCAAATTCATCATCTGACCATGATTATCATTGCACGTTCCGCAGTTCATCAGTGGTAATAGGTATCATAATATTTCAGGCAGGACTACAGAAGCGAACCAGATTAGTGGAATCTCAATCTCAACTCATTTGTATAGCGCCAAATCACAACAACAGTTGCCTCAAGGTGCTTTATGTTGTAAGTTTAACCCTACAATACTACAATAATACCCTATATCATCCCTGCAGCATCAATTAAAAAAAACAAATTAGTATTTTGATTCTGTATCATATAATGTTTATTGCTGTTAAAATGACATTAACGCCGTAACCGTATTAAAGCGGCAAATCACTGCTAGCGAGTGCCTGGGACTGTACGGCGTCAACGCGTTAGCGCAGTTAGCTTGTTAACGCGTTAATGCTGTGCAGCTCCATGCACAGGGCGATCTGCACTAACTCGCTAACGGAGATTTGCTGCATAATGCGGTTATGGCGTTAATGTCATTTTAACGAGATAAACACTGACAGCACTAATTAATGTTACAATGTTATACTGTTATAATCCAACTTGTGGAGATTTGAATATATATTCTGCATTTCAGGCATGCCTTTGAAGCATCCAATACATTCTGAATTAGTACGACAATTCAAAATAGTTTAAGGTGTCTTCTTAAAAACACCTTTAACACAATCTTATGAGATATGATATCAGAAGGCTCAAGGAGATGTGTTTACTGTTGCAGCCTTGACAGATCCTCTGAGCTTCTGCAATGATGGCTATAATTCTGCCAACTCCAGCACACAGTGTACTTTACTATAATAGCTGATCTGGCACCAGATCCAACATTCACACTTTGGCACACTCTACAAAGGAGATTCATGCCCACACTGGCTTTTATTAATGTTAATAGAAATAGCTTTCCCCATCAGGATCTGCACATCTCAGCTTAGAAAGAGGCTGAATCAGGATGAATTAGCCTCAGGGTCAATACTTCCGCTCTGTGGTTCTTAATATTCGTGACAGGCGCTAGAACTTTTTGGCAGTCTCTCTTTATTTGATGATATAAACCAATACATTTAATTCCATCAAACATGTTACAATTTTGCCTGAAGAAAAATTAATATTTGTAAAAGTTTTCTGCTAGTGGAAAACTTTGTGTGGAGACTGTCTTACCAACTTTGCTGATGTGCATAACACAAACTCCACTTATTTCTATTTCTTAGTTATTTAATGCCTTGAAAAAAACTGCCCGCTCATTTTTTTCACAACCATTCACAGACCTACTCGCTGGTTAAGACTTGTTTTAATAGTTAAAGTTAGAATTTAGCTTAGGGTTGGGGAAAGGTTTCACCTTTATAGTTGTGATGTTTTTTGTTTTAATAGGTTTGGGAGTTAAAACTAAAACTTCTTAGCCTTTCATCCTTAAAGGTCAAAGCCATCATTGGTGCTCAACCTGTGGCATTCAACCCTAACCCTATTCTGGTGCAGTATGTCTTTTTTTTAAACTTATATTAAAAACGATTCACTTAAATGTTGGTTTCCAGGGAAACAGAAAATATTAATTCTAACTGGCACCCATCAAAATATGTTCATATTCTTCCCAAAAGTACGTTTTGGTTGCTGTCAGAATGGAGTCGGGGTTGAGGTTGAGGATCAATGTCAATACATTTTGATTCAGAGAG